ATAAGCAAAACAAAGTTAAAATTTCTTTCTCTGTGAAATAGTTGATTAGGATTAGAGGTAAAATGCAAACTTCTGAACATAACAAAGTGTCTTCATGCAGGGACTAATTCTGTATTGTATTTTATTGTTTGATCCATTTTTTTCCGGAGTAAGTGCTTTTCTCTAATTAGATGCATCTTTTTATCGGCTAAGCAAATTAGTGAGAAACGTGTAAGTTCCTTTCTTGAATTAGATGCGTTTGTCATTTATTGCTCATGTTTCCAGTGAGGAATGTGAGTAACTGCTTTTTCAGAACTAGATGCATTGCTTTTTATCAAGAAAAAAGAAAACCATGAGTTGGAAACCTAAATCAGAAAAAATATCTCCACAAAAGAGAACCCTATGTGTCCCCTTCTCCAATTTTTTTTAGCATCTGAATTGGCCTGATGTTCTTTATTTGGTGAGTGAAATCCAAAGATATACCCTAAGTGCTGTTGTCTAGAGAAAGTGCAGTTAAGTTTGTTTAGGAACTCCACAAAAGTATTTGAAGAACTTGGATAGGCTACAAATTTCCCTTAGTAAACAAATGAATAAGTTGTATTTTTCTTTTTTGAGTTTTGCATATAAGTGGCTGAGTGAATTGCGCTTGGTTGTATGATGATGACCATCATCAGTTATATAAGTGTTGGTAGAAACTCTTCAAAGCATCTACTTCGTAACCTGGACTATGTCTATTAAGACATGAGAGTGCAGTTTCCTTCTTCTTCCTTTCTTAAATAAGACTAAACTTCTTGGAAACAAAGAAACAAGTCCCCCCACCCCACCCCCGATAGAATGAAGTGATTTTGTTATTAACCTCTTATTTAATTTGATTTTCTCTTATTTGGTTTAGGATGCGTCCAGTCTATCCCTTTGTAACTTATATCTAGTCAACTATTGCAGATTGGATCTTGCTGTCTTGAATTTTCGGTATTCTTATCTGCTTGAGCTTTTTCTCAATCTTTGGATCTGATAGGTGAATAGTGGATACTTGGTGGAGATGTAGGACTAGTTTTGAGATTTGCTTTCATAACTCTGGCTTGAGCTAGGATAAATGAAGAAAGATCAGTGTTTTAAAAAGCTGAAAGCGAAAAAAAGCGGCAAAGTCCATGTGACTTAAAGAGAAAAGCGTGAAATGAAGCACACGCTTAATACATATAAGTTCAGTACTATAATTATCTGAGAAATTAAACGTGAAATAAAATTTCCGAAGCATTTTATTGAACAGAACTTCTGTGAAGTAGAGTGTTGCAGAGATGCCAAGTGAAGTGTAACCATAAATCTATGGGCTCATGACAGGCTTCAGCGACCAACAGGCATATTTCTACTAAGGTGTTGAAATAGTGAAGAGGGGAGAGAAGCGGAGAAGATGTTTTCCTTTTAATTGCATGTCTTCGATCTAGCTCAATTTTTATCTGGGCAAAGGAAGGGGGAACCAGAGTTCGACTCTGCTAATAGATTAAAATATTATTGATGACTTAGTTAATCTGTGGTGCCAAATTCGCATTTCTGTTTGTGTCAGAAGCTCATTTCAGCTATGCTGAGGAGTACTACCCTTTTTAATATTACCTTATTCTTGTGTTTAATTTTAGATACCTTTATGAGTAAAATTACTCTCCCTGAACAGAATAATAGCCTCCTGCAGTCTGAATCCAGCTCATATCCATATGTAAAAAGAAGTCAAAAGTAATAATTAGTTTTTCCCTATATGTTTGGGATATCCGTTGTCAATGTTGCTTATCCTTCTTAGTTCTTACCTTTTTTTCAACAGTGAGCTCTATATGCACTGCACCAATGAAGACAGGAACATCAACTCTGAATCCTTATGCAGAATCTTATGTGCCTATTTCGAGAAGAGGGGCACCTGATGGAAACAAAGAAGCTAGATTTTCTCCAAAAGAGTTCAAGAGTGGAAGTGAGGCTGTTTGGTTGGCACCTGGTGTCACAGCAGGTGGAAGTCAACAGCAGACTCACCAAACTGCTGATCAGTACAAACTGAAAGACTATTCAGCTTATGGCTCACCATCACATAGTCCTGCAGGAGCTATGGTTAAACAAGTTCTGGACGAGGAATCCGACATGGATTTGGCTTATCTTCAGATGACTTTTCCTGGCATGTCGGATGAATCGCTTTCTGAGGTTTATTTAGCAAACAAATGTGACCTTGATGCTGCTGTTGACATGCTGAATCAGCTTGAGGTGAATTTTCTATGTTTGAAATCTGATATAAGTAGATTGTGTTTTTCATGGCATTAAAAGTTTGTTCTTGTTCTGATGTAGTTTCATTACGGAAGCATACCTTCATCGCGTCCAGGCAGTTCTTCATGCTATTATCATACCTTGCCAATAAATTATGAACAATATTCTGGATGAAGATTGGACAGCCTTTAAAAAGTGAAACATAATTTGAAAGACTAGGAAAAGCGTTTACTTGCCTCTTCCAACAAGGACTTGCAAAAGCTTTGTGTTGTTGGAAATAACTATGTTCTTTCATAAATAATGTTCCTTCAACTCTCTTCCTTTATATGCTGTTTTGCCTCATCAAATAAGCCTAATGATCTATCTACGGTTAGAAATTGCTGCTAACAGTAATTAAGTTGTCTTTCTCACGAAATTGTTTTGGGGAAAGAGGGCAAATAGTTCTTTGGTACATTAAATCTTCCTAATTTGTACTGTCGTTCTTCTGGATTTCTTTGGAACTATGTTTTGGGGAAAGAGGGCAAATAGTTCTTTGGTACGTTAAATCTTCCTAATTTACACTTTTGTTCTTCTGGATTCCTTTGGTGGGTTTATTGTCTTAGTCTCTTAGTCGTAGGGACTTGGGAGTCTCTACATGTTGCACTCTACAAATTTCTCCCATGGTTCCTGCTTCATCTCTCTCTCTCTCTCTCTCTCTCTCTCTCTCTCTCTCTCTCTCTTTGGCCGCGAAATAGACAAGCATGTGAAATGCATAACATTCGGAAGGCATAAGTAAGTTTGTGGCTTTTAATGTAGGAGTTTCTGTAGTTAGGGAAGTATGTGCTCTTTTAGTCTTTTAAACCGGGGTGGGGTGGGTGGGCAGATGCAAAGAAGGGAGCATATCTTTTCTATCCTTAGTGCAGCACTGCAGCTGAGGGAAAATAATGATACTTTAGTTACCGGGCCAGCTGTTATTTCTGTTAAGCTATTCTGAAACAGGAACTAATGTATTGTGCAAGGCTAGGCAGTGTGGTAGGAAAGGCGCCATTTCAAGGTTGCGCCCCTTTAATTTCCATCTAGTAGATATTTCATAGTGCCGATATAGAATTCATTTCAGGTTCTTTAACTTCATGGTTCTGATGGAAATTGTTCTCTTTCTTCTTAAAGCTTTACTCTGGTGATTTTTCTGAAAAGCTTCCAGACACTCTTGACATTGGTGACGTGTCGGACTCTGGGTTCTTGGGCGATAGTTCATCTCAGAAATTGAAGACGGTGGTAGGTGAAACTGTTACAGTTGCTTCGTCATCCGGTTTATCAGACTCAGCTCCAGGCAGTTAAGGTGGTTGTGCTGAAGTTTGTTATGAGCAGTTTTTCTATGTCTTGCTGTAGATATGGAAGTGTGGATTCTAAAGAAAAATGTCTTTTTGGTTGAAAATTTTCATAGATACATCTCTCCCTATCATTGTATAGGTTGCCTTCTTATACTTGTATGTCTCTCAGTGGTGGATTCAAGCTCTTCACTTGATAAACTAGTGATCTGAAATTTTTCCTGACAGTCTAATATCTACAGGAAAAGAATGATTTCCCAGCATGTGGATGTTTGTTTCTTGTGCAATTGAAATTGACATGCAAACATATGTTCAAAATGTTGTTAGCTTTGGCCATCGTCAAAATCTGACGAGAAAAAGCTTCCTTCTTTTTCACTAACTTCTTTCTTTGGAATATGTATTTTGTGATGAGTTGATGGTGCAATTTTGGAATGAGGTCTGAGTGCAGATATTTGCCAGGCTAAACAATTGGCAGGGGTCGTTGGCCGTACTACTCGTCTAATCTAAATTGTTCTTTACTCATGTTCGATCATATGTGGTGTTGCCGAGTTTCCGTGTAATTTGGAATACGATTATAGGATGTAGTTGTTTCGCAATTTGTAATTGATTTTTACTAAATGCTGCGCTTAGGTTGATTCGCTAAGATGGAAATTTAAGAATAGAAGGGGAAATTGCGATAAAGATGTCACATTTAGGGAAATTCGCCATGTCTTATCCCTTATTTAGTATGGATTTAAGCTGCATACATTAACACCATAAAAGTTCACCTTGGCGCAATTTAACTTCTTGTAGTAGGTTACGTACAATTTATTTTAAGGTTTAGGTATTATTTAACTTGATAGGAAAGATGTATTAGGGTTGTAGGTTAGGAGGTGGTTGAATCTTACCTTACTTCGTACCATTGTGGGATTAGTTTGGCAGGTTTTTTGTCTAAGATAACTAGTGGTAATGTTGTGTCTTACTGTTTCGCTTTCCAATTCAAGATCTATTTACTAGCTATCGCTTTTGCTTTGTATCTTTTTTCTGCATTTCATGTTGTTCCTATTTTTCCTATGATTTCTGTAGTGATACTAATATTGTCTCCTTTTGTACTTTTGTTTTCTTGAGCCGATGGTCTTTTGGAAACATCCTCTCTACTCCTTCAGGGTAGAGGTAAGGTCTGCGTACACACTATCCTCCTCAGACCCCATTAGTAGAATTTTACTGGGTTATTATTGTTGTTGTTTAGGTATAAGTCCTCTAAATTATCGGCGTTTGTAATTTTTGTACTTAAACTATTGGTTGTTGCTATTTCCCTTTTGAATTATATTGTTTCCTATTTAAAGTGCCTCGAAGTGTCTACTTAAAACCCCAAATTTTTTAGTTGGCGCTGAAATTAGGCCATGAGGAGCAACTATATGAGATTTTTGGATTAATTTTTTAATTTACTGGTCTTATTTTTTATTAGTTCGTCTTTTTTATTCAATTTTCCCCGTTAAAACTCTACACCTTTTGCTCATGCTAGTTAATACAATTGAAAATTCAATATCCTAAAATAACAATAAAACACCAAAAGAAAATAATCAATAACAATAAATCTAGTTATATATCAGGATATAATCATCATATCATATATCATATACTATTTTATAAGCATGAAAATATTAGTGTGATGTTATTTTACCAAAATATCCTTTAGAAATTGAATGACCAAACTACCCTCTAAATTTACTCTCTATATGATCGTTTTACTCTTCAGTTTAATTCCCACAATGATTGATTAATTAATTCAATTAAAGAAATAAAACGGCTAAATGATTAACTCAAACCATTGAATACAAATGTACGAGGAACCATTATATTTGTTGACTCTTACAATTCTGAGAAATATTCACAAATAGATACTAATCTAATGTCAAACACACATAAAATATTCAAACGTCACCGGAGCTGATTGAAGAACAACAATACTTTAGGATATTTATGAAGAAGACTTTGAAAAATCAGTTGTTCTTATCATAAAAGTCACAACTTGCACCTTTTCAAAGTTGTGTGGAGAAAATCTATGATGTTTCATTTATAACATTTACCATATACATGTAGGTGTATAATGCAAAAAATCTCAATTATCAATGGGTTTAATTTTTCTTTTGATATTTCTTGTGTTTTTCTTTAGCTCAAAAGTTTTATGGAAAAAATGGGGAAGAAGCAGGTGATGTTGACGGCGAATGAAGTAAACCAGATGCCTGTGTAATATGTGTCGGACAAATCAAAGGTTAGTATTTCTTATTCTCTTTTCTTTTCCTCCTCAAGGTTCAATAGCTTTACTATTTTTCTTTCAAGGAGCTTATTTATATCTTTGCATTTATATAGACTTCCTTTTTTATGATTCAGTCTTTCTTTTGTAAGTATAATTTATACTTGCCAAATTTCATTGGTGGCTAATTATAAGTGTTGGATTATGGGTCATGGGTCGCTCCATGTGGGCTGACCCGACCCGTTTAGGAGAGATAAGGGAGAGAGGTTAAGGGAAGTTACCACTAGACCACAACCTCTCCACTAAACTGAACGTGGGTGAGTGGTGGGTTTCTTCCTCAACCGCTATTTTCTCTGCCTATTTATATGAAGGAGATAACATAGAACAAGTATGCGTAAGTTTTTTCTCTAACGTAAGAACTTTCTCTGAATCTCTTCTTCTCCCAACGAAAAGCACACACAAGCAAGGGCATCTAATTGGTGGAAGATTAACTTTGTTTCCTAGTGACTCAAAACTCGGTTTGGGGCAATTGTTTCGGTGGTGAGTTCAACAATTCTTCCGCTGCGTTGACATGTACGCTAATGTTGTTCTCGCCCCGCGATTATTAATCTTACAGGACAGCAAGGAATTCTTCAACTCACAGCTGGATACATTTTCAGCATTTGTTTAGCAAAAATAGTAGGATGATTTTTCTACGTAAACTCCTTTTTTGGATAACTAACTAACAACCTTTTATATCAAAAATAAAAATTAACCAAGAAAAATATACTGATATAATTCTGGAGCTTGCTGGCAATAGTTGGCAAAGTTTGCTTCATTTTTTATTTCTTTTTGGCATTTGATATTAAGGAAAAATCTAATGTCATTAAATTAAGAGTGTGTTTGGTATGACGAAAGTCATTTTCGTTGGCAAATGTTCTTTTGGTGTTTGATGTGTCACTAAAATATATTTCTCGAAAAAAATACATACTTCTTAAAAATTAATAATAATATTAGCAAATTGAATAATTTTTTAATTAAAAACTCCTAAAAATTAATAATAATGTCTTAGTGTTAATTGGAACAAGTAATATAAGGTCAAAAGTTAAGATAATTGTAAAGAAAATGACTTATAGCCGCTCTTTTCCTCCTTAGTCATGACGAAGGAAAATATTTCTCGTGGTAGCCAACACCAAAAAACCGGCTTCCTCATGAAAATTATTTTCCTACAAAATGAATTTTGTCAGACCAAAAAGAGGGTAAACATTTGAAATAATTAAAAGCATGAAAAAAACATTCTGGACAGTTAAATAATACTGTTAGACCTTTTTATAACAGCATTACTATATAACAGTCATTCATTATAAAAGCCAAATTTTTTTTGGAACCAATTTTCGTGCTAAGTTATAATATATGTTCTTTATAGCAGCACTTCGCTATAACAGCCAAAAAAATCTTGAACAAACGAGGCTGTTATAGAGAGGTTTGACCGTAGATTGCAATGTCATGGCAGTTGAATCCAAATTACAGTCAGACCTCTCTATTACAACATCACTATGTAACAACCATTCACCATATAAACCAAGTTTTTTTTAAACCAATTTCCATGTTAAGTTATAATTTATGTTCTTTATAGTAACACTTCGCTATAATAACCAAAAAAATCTGAAACAAACGAGACTGTTATAGAGAGCTTTGACTATATCATGAAAGATAAAATACAAGAGAGAGATAAAAACCTTTGATGTCATACATCAAGAATTAACATTACATAAAAAACTACTTGAGACCATTTCCTCTATATCTAGGATTAATATCTCAAGGGAATTTATATGTAGCTTTCACATCTGAATGTCATTACCTCACTCAGATTTAGTCAGTCATAAAACTTCTAATATAAGGGGAAAAATTAATCTTATTAAAAGATTAGCCTATTATCATCTGGCCAAAAGCCGGCCATTTCTCCTCCTCAATTTTCTCATATAAAACAACACCATATTCTTGAACTCCAAACTCATAGAGTTAATCGGTACTGAACATTCCGCCTGTAATTGTACATGCGCGCCCATAGTAATAACATATTTTGGTTCTGGCATTTTCTTTTAAAATGACAAAGCGTTTCAAACTCAAGCTTTCTATGCCTTCTTTTAGCTTTTGTCAATCCAAGAAAGCTTCTTATATGCCTAAAAGTCCAATGCCATCTTCACTATACAAAATTTCCCCTGCCTATAATCTTGATATTTCACCATTTCCAGTCCCTCCTACAACCCCATATCACCCTTCTCTTAAACAATTCATAAAAGATCACAACTTGACACAAAAAACATATAATTCGCCGATTTCTGATTATTCTGATCATGACAATAACAACATGATCTTGAGAATGAGGAATAGTAGAATAAATGAGTCAACAAATAGTAGGTTGAATAATATGAGTTTTGCCTCTACTGATAGTGGCTGGTGCAGTGAATGTAGTAATAAGAAGCCTAATGATGAATCTTCATTCGACGTTGATTATCCGATAGACCCTTTAACCGGAATCAGAAGGAGGAAAAAGAATAACAACGCGAAAGTAAGTAGGATCAAACGTTACATTTCGAATAGTTTTAAAGATTCTGATTATCAGAAGATTACTACAACAAAAGCATCTGTTATAGATAAACTGATGCCATGTATGGCTGATGGGAAAGTGAATGAGAGTTTTGCAATAGTGAAAAAATCAGCAGATCCTTATGAAGATTTCAAGAATTCAATGAAGGAAATGATAATAGAGAAACAGATGTTTGAAGCAGAGGATTTGGAACAGCTTTTGCTTTGTTTTCTGAGTCTTAATTCAAGACAACATCATGCAATTATTGTTGAAGCTTTCGCTGAGATTTGGGAGGAGTTGTTTGGTAAATCTTCAAAGTCTGTGGATTTAAAACTTTGAAGATTTCAATGAACAATAATATAGCATCATGTTGGTTTCAAGTTCAACTTCCTAAAATTACATAAGGAGAATCACATCACATGTTATTTTTTCATTTGTTTAATCATAACTTTTCGTATGGTCGTGTAATCTGGTTATTGTGCTTTGCTATTTTTGTAATAGTTGTATTATGATTCATGTTATATACAATGATAATGTAAAGATCTTTTACACTATCGCTAAGATTACTCTAGCAAAAAAAATTCATGGCCCTCCAAGTTCTATAAAGCTAATTATGTTCCTTTTTATGGCTTTTGAATTGGTAAAAGTAATTGATTTATTATCCAGCTTTAGTTTTAATTTGCCAAAGAACCTTTCCATCACATGCGAACTGTCTTTTATTGAGATAATAATGACGAGAATACTGTATGGGTCAAAATCTATCTCTAGAATATAAGTCAAAACGACGTCGGTAAAGTATCCCAGGCCGCCAAGGGTCGAGGCGATCTAATCAACTCTGAAGATCGTGGTCGAAGAGTTAACGAGGGCTGAAGCCGAAGAGTCATCAAGGACCGAGTTCGAGGTCGAGCACCCTTGACAGGATTATAACAATCAGTTTTAACATAGGATATAAAAAAGAATACTCTACTGGATATTCTCTGTACTTGTACTATTAGAATTTTTTGGAACATGTTCCATATAAATAGAAAGAAACACAATGATAGGGGACGTAGGAGATTCATTTGTAAAATACTTGTTGACTTTAAAGGAGAGGATCAGATTTTACAAGGATACAAACATAACTTTTTGGCTAAGATCATTACTTCCATCTTGTCTTGGTGACTCTTTCGCATTTATAAATGCCATTGCATTATTCCTATTTTGATTCTTGACCCTCGACTATTGCAGTCACTCCTATTAGAACAGATCTGCGCGCCATTCGATATACTACTAGGATTTCTTTCAAGGATATTGTTGTTAACAAAGATTTGCCCTCATTTTTTATATGTTTGATTAGTTAAACCAAAATCCATGTTTTTGGTCAAACTAATACCACTTGAACCATGCATTTGGGGACTCAGGCTAACCATCATTTGACCTAAAGTACAAAGCAGAATCATATATTAAAAGTCATTTGATCTGAAGCACGAAGCAGAATCAATATTAAAATGTATTAGGTTCTGCACAATGGACAATAATATTTCATGTTACATTATTGGACACAATCAACCAGCAAGATACACCATAATCCATTTGTAGAGCAGGAATATTGAAAAATCCTGCAAAAGCTGGCTGCACGTAGAGGCCTCAGATGTTGATCTAGGGGAATCATCGAGAAATATATCACTTTCCTTGATTTCACTTGAGCTTCATATTAATCTGGGCAAAGCCTTGTGGGCTGTTAAAGTAGGTCTGGGCTGAGGTAGTTCCACTGCTGCCACCTCTTTGGTAAAGTAGGCTGATGGGTCGCAAGAATCTAAGCACACCCATATAAATGGTACAAAGTGTTCCTGGTTTTCATACTTTTAGAGAACTTCCAGTAATCACGGAAACAAAAAGCTATGTGAAGTAAGAGAAAAGTCCGTTGATTGTTACTAAGAGGCTAACAAAACTTCTCATAGAATCAGGTCTTCTTGTTTGTCGCTATCAGATTCCAGAGTTAGCTCTGGATCCTCAAAATAGCTGACATGACAGAGCATACCACCAGCTTCATCAGCAAAAGAAATTTTCCTTCCCTCCCTGTGGACTGTATTCTTGGAAACAGCAGCACCATTTTGACTCAATTTCTATATCACAGAAAAACAATATGACTAAAATAATGAGTTATGAAGTCCATATTCAAACATTGGAAAAGTTCGAAGATAGAGCAACTATGAATAACAGAAAATGAATGGTACCAACCATGATTTTACAGAATCTGGTGCAGTCCCTAGTCATCATTGACAACCACTTTCGTGTTGTCTCTTCGACTTTTGTTGCACTTTTTATGGCAATCTTCACCTGTCAAACATAAGATACTAGAGGTTGAGAATGATATACTTACATGACATGCAATTCGTCTAAGCATGTCATTCTAATGTAGCCTTTTCCTCGTGTGTCACAATGCCTATTTCAAGTTATGACCATTCCTCATATAACTGAAATAAAGATCAAATTGATATATTTTCAATTGTTAGATGAGGTCTTGGAAAATGAAACATCACTAGTACTTGAAAATTTAAAATGAAAAGTATCATTTGCTATATCAGACATAACTATGAATTACTTTGGTCGTTTAACTCAACAATGCACCTCAGATATGCCAGTATATCTGGAAGAACATACCTCATCAGCATCATTCTTCAAAGAACTGGTGCGATATGATTCAAAGAGCAATTTTTCTTCTACCATATCCTTCATGGACTTCAATTCAGACATAAGCTTCAATGCTAGAGATTCCATGTCATGCATCTGCCTCTGTGAAAATGCTATAGCACTCTCTGAACAACGTGTGATAGAGGTGCACCCAGTGTTAAGTTGAGGTAGAGAACGAGAAAGACGAGGACCTTCCAGATTGCCTTTCGGAGGGGAACTCTGTTTTTGTAGATTGCCTTTTGGAGGGGAACCTCGTCTTTCAGTCTTCCATCTCCTAGCGATCTGCTTGGGACCTATAAAAACTTTAACCTTCTTAAGCCGTGCAGATCCTTCGGAATCTTTAGTTGTGCTAGCATCAGCAAGGCGTGATCCTTCAGAATTCTCATTCCCAAAAGTGAGCTTCTCTTTACATTCTGAAAGAATTTAACCAAGAAAAAATAAGTCAGCTTCTGTGGCACTCTCATGTTCTGAGGCAGTTCAGAACATTTAGGAAGAAAAATATTATCCTTATTACAAGCAATACAAAGGACACCATCATTAAGAGTAAGAGAACCAGGAATTTCAATCCAAGCTTCTGTGGTCACTCTCATTCTATGGATTGATTGGAATTAAGTCCAGAATAACATGTGTGGTGGATAACCTTAAGGAATTTAATAACTTTCAAAGTTGAAGTATGAAACCAAGAGTTTATCGTTCATTTGACAAGTTCTTTTATTTCAACTGGCAAATTAGAAACTTACTCATTTCTTCATGTTGCGCGATACGAGCTAAAAGCAGAAGTTTTCCACCCATCAGTTAATATTTGATATGATACTAGAGTCAAAGCAAGAAGGCACTCTAAAACATAAGTCTGACAAGAAGTAAGTCATTTTCTTCTTTTTTTAATAATAGCCTGTTATCTTCATTTGTCAACACATATACGCTGGATAATATATAATTTGCAAATTATTTAATTTGTCTGATTTACTGTAAATCAAAAGGCTTGTAAATGAAGACAAATCTGTGTCTAAAGTAAAACCTTTAGAACCAAAGATAAAATTCACAAATATCTGTTTGATTTGTCATTTGGTTATTGGTTCCTGGGCTCAACCAAAGAAGCAACCACCAGAACTCTTAAGATGAAACAGCTAAAATGAACTTTGAATTAAGTTGAAGCACTGTTCAGTTGTTTCTCTGATCTCAACTGACATCGATTTATCAGTGAAGAAATGTGAAGCAACACATCAACTGTGCTTGGAATTGCTATGCATATACATCAGTTGAATTATATAGAAAAGTGATAAAAAACATGAAGTCTGTCCAACTTATGATGAAAAGCCTAATTTCATATATGACTTACTATAGTTCTCCAGGTCATCGATTAATTCTATGGAGTTCATAGCCAGACAAAGTCGCTCTTGAGAGCACGGAGAAATAGCCTGCATAAGATTATATAGTTTAATATACTTCAAGAAATACAAATAAAGCAAATTATCTTCAGCAAACACCCCTAACCTTTCGTGTTGATAGAAGTCTCTCAGGAGGCTGTGACAGCTCGGACGCTGAGATCTGATCCAAAGCATTCTGAGATTGACTGGTTAACGTCAAATCTTTTTCCTCACAAATACTTGAAGATTTCAGAGGCTGATTTTCATCATCCAAGCAATTTCCTGTAAGGCAGCACTCTGTTAGCTGCTCCTTGTCATTTATGTCGTCTACGAATGGCAAACTATTGTCGCTGCCCGAGCAAGTTTGCAAATTACACGATAAGATACACTTATCAACGGGGTCATCGACTGAACAAAATTCCTGATTTGAGAGCAAAACTTCCTTATCTCCATCTCCAGACATGCAAACATCATCTGCATAATGAAGACCAGCACTGTCAGTGCCATTAGGTATCATTGCCTCAGGAATGTGAATCCCAACATTGTTGGTACTCTGACCGGAACTCTTATCCATATCAGAACAATTCCTGAGGCAGTCATACATGCCTAAACTCTGATCGTTTGCTGTTGCTACTATTTCTGTAGATCTTGATGGAGCAAACAACTCTTTTTGACTGTTTTCTGTATAACATCTGTCCTCCTGATTATTTACCTCTGCTAGCGCTTCACTAGCTGAGTAAATATATTTAGGATCCACATGTTCGAACTGATCATTGGAAATCTGATTAAGAGTACAGAGTTTCTGCTCTTCTGCAAATGAAACAGGTATCTTTTCCTCGGAGTCAACTACGTCTGATAATTCACTACACGTAGTTGCATCAGAATTAGGTTTGCTATCCATCCAGATATTAGAGGGGCAATTGGAAGAATCTGAGCGGGACATTGAAAACTCAGATTCTGAAGTCTCAGCTATGGGCTCTGGCACTTCAGGTAAATCAGTTCTGAGCTGTGGAGAAACTTCAGGCTCCAGGACCACTTCAACTTCAATTGATACAGGTTTGTTTGGGGATGCGAAGAGATTTCTGTTGGTGCACCTTCTTTTACGATTTGCTTTCTTGGAAATTCCCAGCTTCAAATGACTAAGGGGTACTTTTAGATCGTCATCTTCTTCTGGCTGATAACATCTGTCAGCCTGCTTTGGACTTGTAGAAATAGGACTTGGAGTAGCAAATTTCCTTTTCTTGGACTTGCAGCTCTCCTTTAGTTGTTTCAGTGTTATTTCTCCAGAATTATAATCAGCTGACTGACTGCTCACCTCATCATCAGCAAGGCAACCAAATTTGTTATTTTCAGGTTCTATTGTCTTTAATGTTCTGTCTACTACTGGAAAACATTCACTTTCACACTTAACATGTGAACCCCCGAGTCTAGCATTTTCAGTATCACAGATGTCTTTTAACTTCTTGATCGTCAGATCAGGCTTTCCATGAGAATCTACATTATGGACCTTTACTATCAAACCTCTTCTCACAACCTGGATATTATGCAAGTAGTTGCCACTCCTTCGCTCCATTGTCTAACAGGTTTGGCTCGAGTTCATGAACTATTGGTGGAAATGCAAATGCTTATCAAGGTGTAGTAACTCTACCCTGACTATATCTCCAAGATGCCACCAGTCTTCCAAATACTGCAGAAGAAAGAAACCTTATAATTTTACTCAGATAACCTCATTTGGGCAAAAAACCTATTTTGGGATGTCTAAAAAGTCAAACACTTCATTATTATCTCATATTGATGCTCTTATAAACATGGAAAAACAGTTCAAGCAAAAAAAAAAGTATGTTGAAATACATGGAGAAATGAACCCAAACCTATACAATAATGCAGAGTAGTTCAACAAATGATGGAACTGTAGTAGGAAACAACAGTGTCACGTCTTCCACTAAGTAAAGATCAAGATGTCGACCAACCCCAAGAACTGAAAAGGAAATGCCACTCTTACCAAGAGCTTTAACCAATTTCACATTACTTTCTGGTTAGTAATGTCTAATAAGGTGAGGTCCAAAAATCATAAAACTAAGTCTTCACATTAAGAAAGATTTTCTTAGCTCAGTATTTCAATTCACGTGGAGCTGAATCGGAAAGACAAATAAAAAGGAAAGCAAAATTTCACAGCTAGTAAATTACAGAAAAGTTAAGCAACGTCACACAAATAAGACAATGGCATTTGCAAAAAAAAGCAAAGTGGGGGCAGGAAGTGACAGAAGAAACCACTGGGAAAAGTGGGACAATGAGATGCCAAATTTATGCCGCGTTGATTACATGTTCCGCCACACCAAGTAGCTTTTGCTCAAACAATGTATTTGTGTAAAGAGATTCATTAAATATGTACAAATATTAAATCTAGAATCCAGTTATTAGCACGTAAGTTCTCCTGAACCCATAAAGTTAAAATGTGGCTCCACCTATGCATATACAAAGTCTGTGAAACAATTTTCTACCTCACAGCCCTATATGTTTTCTCTTGACAAGACTGAAAGATAAGAGAAAGTTTCTACCTCACAGCCTTAGCTCAAGCACAAATAGTCAATTAGCACTTTTTTACCTATAACACTTGTAATTATGAAAACTAGATCTCAATTTGGCTAAACAAAATCTGAAAGATAGTACATTATCAAATGCCCAATAAACTAAGCTAGGAATATCTGAAATTAATCACTTAAAACACATTTTTTAACCAAATAAATTAATTTAACCACATGTTTCCAAGTAAAAACAAATGCGTATATATAAACATGATTCATTTAACATATATTCCCAACACAATTTTTTCAATCAATAAGGTAAACTGGATCTATCCGTGCATACAAGTCGAAGATCCAAAAATATAGAATCTTGATCGGAGGCAGAAATAGTAAATGAAAATGGGATCTATGAAATCCCTAAAAAGCAAATATATTGAAATAAATCTCATGTTTTAATTAATTGTAGAATAAACAAAGAATGCTTTAACAGAGAGACAAATCAACAGCTCCAGAAAACAGATCTGGGAATAAACAGATAGCAAAATTGAGCTCACCTGATTCTGAATCGCTGGTTCGAGAGTGACAGAAGAAAGTTGAGGAGAACGATGAGGGACTGAAATTTCCCGGGTAAATTAGTGAAATATAAGGATATTGCTGAATGTGAAAACGCGCCAACATTATTGGCGGGAACTGGAGTAGGGCTTTGTACTTTTATATTGGGCTTTAAGATTCCGCTGACTTGGTACCTGCCTATTTTCCTTTTGTCTTTTTTTTTCTTTTTTGTGATATTTGCACTTTTGGTCCCTCAATTGTTGATAAACTTTCGACTTTAGTCCTTGTAATAATGGCTAAGCACATTTAAACTTTAGTTTATTAAAACGGAAAAGAGCCAAAACTGCCCCTAGACTATTGAAGTTGGTACAATAATATCCTCTGTCCACCTATTTTATATAATTTATCCTTACCGCTTTTTTTGGCTCAACACTACCCTTATGACTAACAGCCACGTTTAGTGAAAATAGAAAAATAATTAATTTTCACATGTCATCATCTCATTGATCTAACTTAAAACCACCTTGAATTAAAATAAATCTACCCGCATCCAAACCCATAAACAAAAATACTTTTTTCCTTAGTCTATCCTTCTTCCTCTCCATCTTCCATTTCTTTCTCCTCTAACTTTTCAAAATACTCCAACATCCAAAACTCTCACACAACCATTTTTTTTAAGCAAACAAAATTCTCTTATAGTTCATCACCTTCTTCTTCCTATTTCTTCCACCATTAAATATATACATTGATTCTCCTATTTATTCTATCACATAAATATCATTCATCGTCAATTTTTTCTTGCTAGACTTCACTATTTCTTACAATAAACTTAATGAAGTATTTATTATAGTCAACTTCTCCAATAAGTCGTATTCTCTCATATTCTTAGACATAGGCTGTCATATATTCCTCCCGTCTCTTTCTTTAAACTGGCAATGTTGATATAGCATGACGATCATCCTCGTACTACAGCTTAATTTATGAACATGACTGGATGTTCAAGAAATATACATTGAAAAATTTTGCAAATGCTCAATTACCATCACCCTCGACTCCCCATTAGTGTTCATATGTCCGAGGGAAAGTTGTATGACGTAAAATATTGGTGACTAAAAAATTTAGTTGTATGAAAATAAAACTTTAATGGTGATTGTGGCGGTTATTCAAATGAAGTGCAAGGTCACAAAAAAATAATAAGAAGAAGAATATGAACACATAGACGTTGGGGGTGGGGGTGAGGGGGGAGATTGACACGGTAATGCATATTTTTGGAAGAAGATAACATTTGGAGAAGGAAAAGAGCAGAGAAAATTTAGTTTTTTGGATGTGAGTGGGTTTATTTTAATTTGGGTGGATTTTAAGTTAGGCCAATGAGACATGACATGTGGAAATTAATTAAAGCTTTTTTTTAACCAAACAGTGTTGTTAGTCATAAGGGTAGTCTCGAGCCAAAAAGAAAATGGTGAGGGTAAATTTTGCAAAATAGGTAAACGGAGAGTATTATTGTGCCAACATCAATAGTTCAGGGGCAGTTTTGGCCCTTTTCCATTATTAAAATGTGTATTTTGATCCGTTCATATATAGAAAATATATGATATTTAGATTATTTTCAAAACTATAAAACATTCAACAATGAAGCAACATTACATATTTAACATAACACATTGGTAACTAAACGGGTTACTTGTAAATGGAGAATCTACTGAACCTTTTGAAGCTGCTAAGGGACTTAGACAAGGAGATCATATCTCTCCTTTCTTATTTGCAATAGTAATGGAATATTTGAGTAGATCACTTGCTGAGCTGGGGAAAGAGGCCAAATTCCAATACCACCCCAGATACAAAAAACTGGGCATCACTCACATGAGCTTTGCTGATGACCTCCTTCTATTTGCCAGAGGAGACCTAGCTTCCATTGCTGCTATGTACCAGTATTTCTCTCAATTCTCTGAGGCTTCAGGACTACAAACTAACCTAGGTAAAAGCTCGGTTTATTTTGGTGGAGTGAAACAGGAAGTGAAGAAACAGATTTTAGATCATCCTGGATTTGTACAAGGAGAGTCAAATACTTAGGCATTCCTTTATCCACTAAGAAAATTGCTTTGATCCAATGGCAACTTTTAATTGAGAAAATTACTGCTAAGATCTCTTCATGGACTGCCAAGAAGTTATCATATGCTGGTCGGGTGCAACTAATTCAATCTGTGATTTTTGGCATTCAATCATACTGGGCTCAGCTGTTCATCCTTCCAGTTAAAGTGCTGAAGATGATCGAGGCTATATGCAGAAGCTATATATGGTCTGGCAGCAACACTATCACTAAGAAAGCATATGTGTCTTGGGAAAGAATGTGTACTCCTAAATCTGCTGGTGGTCTGAACCTCATCAACCTTCTTCTATGGAACAAGGCAGCAATTGCAAAAGTGTGCTGGGATTTAGCCCATAAAGAAGATAAGCTTTGGATCAGATGGATCAATTCCTACTATGTTAAACAACAACAATTGGAGGACATGCCAATCCCAAAACAGGCTAGTTGGATGGTCAGGAGGATAATTGTTTCAAGAGATATTCTACAACAAGCTCAAAGTTCAAATGATCACATTTGCACCATCAAACAACTATACTTACAGCTCTTAGGAGATCTACCAAGAGTAAGTTGGAAGAACCTGCTTTTCCAGAATTCTGCTCGGCCAAAAGCTGTGTTCAACCTATGGTTACTGCTACAAGGAAGATTACCAACCAAGGATAGATTAATCATGTCACGACCCGGATTTTCCACCCTCGGGAGTCGTGATGGCGCCTACTAATAGGAGCTAGGCAAGCCAATTAATTTAACATTTCTCTCAACATTATTAACAGTATAAAGAAGAACGAGGCAATTAATATAAAAGCGGAAGTCTCAAAACATAAATAACTGAAACCAAGTGCGGAAATTCAAATACACCTCTACCCACATCTGGTGTCACTAACTCACGAACTTCTACTGAATGCTAAATACAAAGTCTGAATAAGAATACAGTATTGTCTGATCCGATACAAGGGAAATCAAACGAAAGACAGAGATAAGAGAGACTCCGGGCCATGCGGACGCCAGCAAGGCTACCTCGGAAATCTCCGAACTGAAGTAAGCTCCCAACGCTCCTACTGCTGTCCAAAAGCTCCTGCTCCGGTACTATGATCTGTGCAAAAAGCACAGAAGTGTAGCATCAGCACAACCGACCCCATATGCTGGTAAGTGCCTAGCCTAACCCCGGCGAGGTAGTGACGATGCTAGACAGGACCTATCAAAAACAACCTGTGCAGATATATATATACAAAGGCAACAGAAATAACAACAGAGAATATCAACAAAAAAAAAGGGGAAGGGGGCATGCTCGGGGAAAATACAGCGAATACAGATCAACGGATATAACGACGAAACTATCTCAATACCATAGCTCATATATAAGTGGTCGGCGCGCCACACGATCCCATTTCTTAATTCATAAGTGGACAGTGTGCCACACGATCCCATTTCATAATATATAAGTGGTCGGCGTGCCACACGATCCCATCTCATAATATATATATATAAGTGGACGGCGTGCCACACGATCCCATATCATAGTATATAAGTGGACGGCGTGCCACACGATCCCATATTATAGTTCAAAATATCTGACTTTGTAAAGAAGGCCCCATTAGGGGAATTCGACAACATAACACTTTAACCCGGCAAGGGTACAGCTAACAGCCCAAATATCCCGGCAAGGGAGAGTACATAATAATAGTCTACACGTCCCGGCAAGGGAATAATCATAACACATCCTCTTTTAAATCACTTCTTTCTCAACTATCACGTTCTTGTTCGAGCCAACGCTCCAAAATATACCAATCACAATTCCTCCTCAACCGTTCACATTATATGAAATTTATCAATTAAACAAGGAAATTGTGTCACATCATTCGAATTAAAAGCAATTAAGACTCACGGTCATGCTAGACTCCGGTGCATAGATAACCGTCACCATGCCTATGCACCGTACTCCACATTTAGCAAGGAGCAAATAACATCCTAATCCTATTCCCTCAAGCCAAAGTTAGAACAAACACTTACCTCGGTCCAAGAATAGCAATCAACTCTCTAATACCGCCTTTCCTCTACAATCCAACTCCGAAACAATGATATCTAGGCATAATTAGTTCAATAATATCAATAAGGGCTCAAAACATAATCCCATAGCCTAGAAATGAAATTCCTATCATTCTTCCAAAAACACCAAAATTCGACACCGGTCCCACATGGTCCAAACACGAGGCTCGGACCAAAACCCAATCACCCATAACCCCACGAGTTCAAATATATAATTTATTTTCCAAGATTCGA